GATTCCCTGGGTCTGGGCTCCTCAGAAGTTCCCCAACATCCATTCTGAGCTTGAAATCCAAACTGAGCTTTCATAGCACCTGGTTCCGTTGGGTCAGGAGCATTGTCCTTGAGAACGTCCCAGTGGCTGGGCCCACATCCTCCCACCTGGAACACACACAGCGCCTGTCTCCCAGTCTTGGCTGCCTGCTGCCCCTTATTCTGTGTTGCTGCCTGCCTAGTCCTTCCTGGGTTCCTTTGTCTCCCTGGAGGGCAGGGCGCACATGCTCAAATGCATGCTCACCCTTTTGTCCCAGCACGTAGCCTCAGGTCAGTAGAGATTGGGCCTCTCAGAGTGTCACAGTCAAGCTGAGGGTGAGTCAGGGGCCTCACTGCAAATTGGAGCTGCTGCAAATCAGTCTGGGCTACAATGTGAGTTCTAGACCAGCCTGGGCGACATAGCGATACTTCATTTTGGTGTAAAACAAAAAACTTCATCTTGATGGAGGACAGGATTCCCCTGTCCTCTGCATCTGCTCCAAGGCCCCCCAATCTGGTTTCCCAATTGAAATATCAATGTTCCCTTCCTAACTCAGATCTTAACTATCCCAGCTCTTTCTTGCTTAATACCTTTCAAAGGCTTCTCATGAGGTGTAGGATGAGGTAGAGCCTCTAGGCAGGTAGGCAGAGGTTAAGCCCCAGCTGCTCTTCAGGGAAGATCCGGAGCTGATTCCCACAGTGCTTCAGGCAGCCTGGGGGACCCCTGCTGTTTTTCTCTCTCCCTCCTGGCTTCCTTAATGGTCTTGGCTTCTCATCCAATTCCTGCTGGGGGAATCCAAGCCAAGTCTGCAGACCATGGCCCTGAAACAGTGGCTCCCGGGAATCTGACCTTGGCTGCTTGTCTAGTGCCCTGGTATTTACCCACTCGTGGTAAATGGAAGAGAGAGCAACTCCATCAAGAGCTGACCAACACCAACTACAGACTCACCTTCCTGGATTCGCCATTGCAAGCCTTTTGCACAGCCTTTCCCGTCTCTCCTGATTTATCAAACATTGTTGGAAAGGAACAGTTACCAAGTTACCTAGATACCATCTTCTCTCCAGTTGTTATGAGAGTTCATCAAGGTGTGCCTTCGTGGTTTCTTCCTGGGGGCAGGGGGGGCAGGGGGGGCCGGGGGAATCCCAGAATTCTACCACCTCCAACTTCCTGCCTCCCACCCCAGGGTCCCTTCCCTGACTGATGCCCAGTTACCCCAAGTATGTCCTCCACTCCAACCTTCTCTTGCCTCCCTCCCTCCTTCTCTGTCTCCCTCCCTCCCTCCCTACCTCTCTCCTTCCATCCCCTCTCCCTCCCTCCCTCCCTCTCTCCTTCCTTCTCTTCTTCTTCATTGGTCCTCTGGTGTTGGAGCGTTGCACAACATTTATACATTTTCTCTTGCCCTTGTCCCTTGTCTGCTCTTGCACTCGCTGTGGGACTGTCAGTGACTGACAGGCATTTCCTGAAGACATCTTCTCGGCCTCTGACGAGGCTGAACATCTACTTCACAAGCGTACTCGCTGAGTGCCCGCTGCACACCGCACCTCCAAGTGAGCAGGAAATGCCGGCCTCGCAAGTCAGCAGCAGCAAATGGAGATGTCAGCTCCCCCAGAATCTCGTCAGCTCCCCCAGATCTCAGCAAAATGAGATGCCAGCTCCCCCAGAATCTCAGCATTAGCCTTAAAGTAATCCCTCATCTGTGGTTTGCCTTTCGTTAGCTTCTGACATGTAGAGGAAGTGCAGCTATTGGGGGAAACTTCCTTATTTTTGTTTTGTTTTCACTCTGTGTGCGTGTGTGTGAGTGTGCAAGTGTGTATGTATGTACATGTGTGAGTGTGCAGGTATGTATGTGTGTACATGTGTAAGTATGCAAGTGTGTGTGTGTGAGTGTGTGTATGTGTGTGAGTGTACAGGTATGTATGTGTGCACATGTGTTCATATGCAAGAGTGTGTGTGTATGTGTATGAGTGTACAGGTATGTATGTGTGTGCATGTGTGAGTATGCAAGTGTGAGTGTGTGAGTGTACAAGTGTGTGTATGTGTGTACAGGTGTGCATGTGTGTGTGAGTGTGCAGGTGTGCAGGTGTGTGTATGTGTGTGCAGGTGTGCATGTGTGTGTGAGTGTGCAGGTGTGCATGTGTGTGTATGAGTGTGCAGGTGTGCATGTGTGTGTATGTGTGTACAGGTGTGCATGTGTGTATGTGTGTACAGGTGTGCATGTGTGTGTGTGAGTGTGCAGGTGTGCATGTGTGTGTATGTGTGTACAGGTGTGCATGTGTGTGTGTGAGTGTGCAGGTGTGCATGTGTGTGTGTGTGTGAGTGTGCAGGCATGTATGCCCATGTGGAGGCCAGGCTATCAGGTATCTTCCTTTATTGTTTTTGACTTATTGTCTTGAGTCGGGGTTTCTCTTCTCTTTTTTTAAAAATGATTTATTTTGTTTTATGTGCATTGGCTGTGTGAGGGTGTTGGGATCCCATGGAACTGGAGTTACAGACAGTTGTGAACTTCCAGGTGGTTGCTGGGAATTGAACCTGGGTCCTCTGGAAGAGTAGTCGGTGCTCTTAACTGCTGAGCCATCTCTCCAGGCCCTGAATCAGGCTTTTACACTGAACTTGAAGCTCATGTTTGGCTCCGTTGGGCAGTGAGCCTTCAGGATCTTCCTGTCTCTTCCCTATAGTGCTGGAATTATAGGCATGTACAGCCATACCTAGCTTTTTAAGATTAGTGCTGGAGACTTGAACCCAGATCCTCAAACGTGTAGGGCAAGTGTCCTCCCATCTCCTCAGGAGGCCCAACTCAGCTTTTAAAGGCAACTTCCAATTTGGCCTTTACCCCAGAATTTTATCATGACTTTCCCCCTTCTCAATCAAGAAACCATGTAATAAAGTTTGGGAGTATTTCCTTGTCAGGGAAGGAGGGAGGTAGGGGGAAAGGGGAGAGGAGAGGAGGGAGGGAGATATCAAGGTAATTTTTGCTTTGACAACTTTATTGAAACATGGTAACACAGAGCATGGATTTGAAGTCCCAATGCAGCCGTTCCTCTCCTAGGCATCATGCTTCCCTGAGAGGCTCCAGAAAGTTCACATTTGCAGCCTGTGAAGTGGCAGGCTGTCCCTGGGCACCGTGGTTTTGAGCCCTGATTGATTGTCTCTGTGACTGGGCATGCCTATTTGCACCGGAGGTCTCATGTCTCCAGTTAGTTCGGCCCTAGAGTCCTGAGAAGACACCTAGATGGGTTTCTTGGGCTTTTCCAATGGTTAGCTCTAGGAGTTGTCAGGCCAAAGGATGCCTTGATGACTATTGGCAGACTAGCTCTTGAAATACTAGTGTGGAGCATTCCTCCACATATTCACCTGGCAAGTTTTCACTAAGCTTCTGCTAGGTGTGAACACTCTTCCAGGGGTCCAACAGGCAAAGGTCAACAGAAAGAACGCACTTGTAGGGGAGTAAGATGGGTATCCAAGAAACCACAGCCGACTGTTACAGTATAATCAAGCCAATAGTCTCTAAAGAAAGCCCCACACCGTGTGTCAAGGGCCTGATGTACGATGGGTCAAAAGGGACAAGGAAGAGCTGAGATCTCGTGATGTCAACTTGTCCAGAAGACAAAAGAGCATTTCAGGCCATGCAAATAGCACCCCGTGTGCCTTGCTTGCTAGAAATAGTAGATCTAAATAGAATGATAGGCAGATAGGGGTGGGATTAAGAGAAGGTGCAGGGCGGTGCAGGAGGACGCTGGAGGGACATGCAAGCTGACGACGAAGCCCACCAAGGCTGTTGTATGGAGTGGACTGGAGGAAGGGGGAGGGGTGAGGAGTGTTGGAAAGAGACCTAAGCAGTTTCTCCAGTTGTCTTTTTGGAGACTTCAGCAGCTGGGTCAGGCGAAACGGGGACGATGAAGATTACCAGTTGGATGGCGGATATGTGTGAGGGCTATGACTCCAGCATGTCCACCATGAGAAGCAAGGCAAAAGGAGGGGCCGAGGCTGACCTCAGCTTTTGAAGCTCAGCACGTACCCTCCGCTTGAGAAGGGGGACTTTGGAGGAGCAGGTGAGGGAGGAGTTGGAGAGTATGGCTGTGGGCATGTTAGAGCAGTGTACCTTTGAAGGACCCAGGTGGAGGAAACATGGCCTGATGCCTTGCCTACAGCTATAAATCAGTAAATAATCTCCTTATGTCTTGTGACTAAAGTCATGAATGTAGATGAGGTCCCAAAGGGAGGACCAGAGTGAGAAGTCTCAGTGCTGAGCTGCAGGGAACAGTCATATCTAATTGTCGTGTGGAGGGTAATGAGTCACAAAGAGGACTGAAAAGTTACGGGTGGATATTGTTGGGGGACAGGAGAGGCTCTTGGAAACCCAAGGAAGCATGAGTATCAGGAGAGGTTGAGGTCAAGGGAGGGCAACACTATTGAGAAGTCCTAGGTGAGAGAAGTCCATAGACATCCTCACCTCTCCGGAGCTCTCAACAACTCCACCTCCTTGAGTCTCTTCAGTAGTTCTATAACCGCAGACAGAGAGCTTATCCATTTGCCGGGGAGTAAAGTGCTGCCCAGAGGGGCAGACAGTGTGTCCAGGTCACATAGCCAGCAGAAGGCAGCACTGGGTCAAAACACACATTTGCACCCTTTACATTTTCCCAACTTCTACCTGCCCTTCCCTGGGTCCCAATAGACACACATTGCCCTGCAAGTCCACTGCACACCACTTCTTGTTCATAACAAGTACCATCAATGGCTCTATCTTAGAATGGAGGGCTCCCTGGAAGGTTAAGATTTGCTAGAGGAAGGTTAACTGAGCTGAGGAACTATCTTGACTTCTGTTCTGAGTGGCAGTGTAGTGTAGTTTGAAGAACATGAACATAAGCCTGGGTTTCCATCCATCATCCATCCATCATCCATCCATCTATCAATCATCCATCTATCAATCATCCATCCATCCATCATCCATCCATCATCCATCCATCCATCTATTGATCCATCCATTGATCCATTCATCTACCCATCATCCACCCATCCAGCCAGCCATCATCCATCATCTACCCATCATCCAACCATCACCCACCCATCCATGCACCCATCCATCCACTTTTTCTACACATCCACCCACTCACCAAGTACTTTCTGAGTACCTCTATCCTGGGCATGTTTTCCAGCTGAGTGGCCTGAGGTACATTTTATACTTCTCTGACTCTCAGTTTCTACCTCTGTAATATGTCTGGGCAGTGATGCTCAGCCTAAGAACACGTATATAAATTATGAGAGCCCATGTAGATAAAGTACCTAGCACCTAGTTAGGTGTTCGTGGAGGCATTTTCGCTCCTCCTCCTTTTCTCCCATCCCCTTGTCTGCTTTTCTGCTCATAATGAGATCTCACAAGGGAGTGAGACAGGGCTTTATAGCAACATCCTTTGCCCTGCTCAGCAGATGTGCACGTTTTGTACAGAAGCACATCTGTGCATGCACGTGCGCACATCTGTCCCGCTGTCTGCTCACGACTCCTAGGGCCAGCACCAACGTGAGCTTTGAACCCAAGAAATTCAGCCTTAGTGAGCCAAAGCACCTGTCTGGAATCCGCTCACGGGGAAGCTGATCTATGTGTTCTGTGAACCCCCAGGCTCAGTCTGAAGTTTGTCCTCGGTGGGCTTGGTCCACAGGGCTCCAGAGGGAGCTCCAAGTGATAAGGCCGGGATCTTGGTGCCCTGCGCAGGATCTAGACAGCCTCACAGGGCAACGCCCTCATTCCTTCCTGTGATGGTGTCCTTTCTGTCTTCTCAGACAGTGGCTCTCCCGACCGATCCTCGGAGGGGCCTTCTGGGTGTTGCTGGAGAAAACGAAGCCCCCATAGGCTCTTGCAGCAGGTTAGGAGGTTATTGGAGCATGTGGTGCATGACAGCGTGGGTTTTCTGCAGAGACACAAGCACAGGTTAGAGCTGGGGTGGTGTCATGGCTAATCTTGTCATCTTGACACACACGGGCAGGGGAGCCCTCAATTGAGGAAACGCCTCCATCAGATTGGCCTGTGAGCGTGTCTGTGGGGATTTGTCTTGATTGTAATTGCTCTAAGAGGAGGACGATACCATCCCTAGGCAGGAGGGCATGGGCTTTGTTAGAAAGCTAACTGAACAAGCCAGAATGAGCAACTCATTTAGCTTGTTGGTTGCTGCTTCAAGCTCCCGTCTTGAGTTCCTGCCTTGGCTTTCCATCACGATAGACTATAACCTGTAAGCTAAAATAAGCCTGTTTCTTCCCACGTTGTTTTTGGTTATAAAGGTCTGCAGCAGAAAGCAGACTAGAGCAGGTGGTCAATGAGACAAGCCCCTGGGGCCAGGGGTGAGCCTCTCCGTTGTGTTTCCACTAAGCCTGAACCTGTAATAGTGGTGTGGGATGGCAGAGACTCTCTTCCCCACCTAACGCAGTTCACGGACAGCAGCCTTCAAATCCCAGCTCTGTGTCTGCATGCTGTGTTGACACGGTCAGTTCCAATCGATCCTCTGACTCTTACATGGAGCTCCTCATAGCTACGTTCCCCAACTCTGGGAAGAACTCAGTGCTATGAAATGCTCCTGAAGAACTGACTGCCTTATGAGTAGGGGCCCAGGTGATGTGTGCTGTGTTTGGTGCTGGGGATGGAGCCTAGAGCTGTCTCTTGCATGTCTTGCATGGGGAAGCTTGGGAAAACACCAAAGTTTTGCTGCCATCCCGTAGGGTAATCAAGTTCATGGCTCCTCCTTCATACAGCGGAGGGAAGAACACTGTCCTTCCCTGCACACTTCCGCTTGTCATGAAGTGGCTGAGGCCGTGGAAGCCTGGCTTTCGCAAGGCTCTGTGAACAAAGACACAGATGAATCCCAGCCTCCAAAGCATGGCTCACTCTGGCCAAGCCACTGCTGGGAACCCCAGGTGGCCCTGACCCTCTCTCCTGGTACCCTGTACCTCTAGCTGGACAGTAAGGTCATGCCTGTGGCAATTTGGAGGTTATTGCTATCACGTGAACAGTATACATATTTGGCCAGGCTGGCAGGGAGGTATATGCCCTTGGAAGAATGTGCCAGCGGTTCTGAGAAAGTACTGCTTGCTGAATTCCTACAGAAGCTACCTCAAACTGAGGGTAGCCAGCTTTTGTCTTCTATGGAGCCTTGTAATTAATTACCCAGATAATGCACTTGGGAAACATTGCGTGTTCAGAGTAAAATGTCAAAACATAGAGATAAAAAAGACACAAATAAACAACTCATATAAACCCCTCCTCAGGCTAATCTTTCTGTTACACAATTCAGTTATTATACATTTGAATGAAATACATCAATCATCCAAACAGACTCTATTTAAAGTACCTATATATGATTTAAAGAATGTTTAAATTAAGAATTCTAACTTCAGCAGTACCTGATTCCCTTCAGCAAATATTTCTATTTTGTTCTGCATACAATTTTTTTATGTAGATGGTATCGTGTTTTATGATTGTTTTTCTCTGCGGCTGACTTTTTATTCTTGCCTCATTACCCAGTGACAGATCTCTCACTGAGCTTGAAGTGCAACCTTTTGGGTAGGCTGGCTGACTGGCAAGCTTTGGAGAGTCACTGGTTACCACCCCTCAATGCTGGGGTTATAAGAACATGTGACCATGCCTGGCTTTTTTATGTGGGCTCTGAGGATTCGAACTCAGGTCCTCAAGCTTGTGCAGCAAGTGTTCTTACCCACTGAGCCAACCCCTAAGCCCCTGTTTTCCTTAATTTTAATAGCCATATTTATCTATTTCCCCTTCCTGGTTTGTTTATGAAATCCTTTCACATCTCAAGGTCATCAAAGTATCCCATGTTTTCTTATGTAAATTTAAATATTGTCCTTGGTATTTAACCTACAAGCCCATCTGGAATTGACTTTTGTGCGTCATGTGACATCCAATATTATTTTCCCATTTCCTTTCCTGAGCCCTCCTATTGCCTTTCTAAAGCAAATGAGTTTCCTTCCTGTCTGTGTGTGGTGCTAGCTGGGTTTCTCCACCTGCGTTTGTTTCCCTTCTGGTGGACATGGAATTGACCCCAATGTTATTTTCATTCTTAATTTCAGCAAAATCTATGAAAATGTCCTTCTGCATTCTTCATGACTTACTTATTTATTTTGATAAGCTTTGCCAGAATTCGCCAAAGAACAACTTTTGGGTTTGTTGTTCTTTTGATCAAGGCTTTGTCTTTTGTTTTACCTGTGTCTACTTTGTTGTTATTTGCTTTATTGTGTTTGGATACATTGTGTTGATCTTCTTAACTTTCCAAATTGGATGTTTAGTTCTTGAATTTCAAACTCTGTTCTGTGTTCTAAGCATTTACATCTGCGTTTTCCTTTGAGGGTCGCCCCCAGGCCCACACTGTGTTTTGAGGTCAAGTTTTACTGTCCTGTACTCCAACACATCTCCTAACAGCTTAAAGGTTTTTTCCTTCATCCCACAATCTACTAGGGAATTTGCTTGCAGGGTTAGCAAAGGTTTCTTTTGCTGTTAATTTTGTCATAGTTAGAGGACTGCTTTATGAGTGGAGCTCTAGTATACACTCAGCCTTCTGTTTGATTTGGTTTTTTTTTGTTGTTGTTGTTGTTTTAGATAATATTTCGCTATGTAGCCCTGGCCAGTTTGGATTGTGCTGTATAGCACTGACCGGCCTGAAGTCACAGAGATCCATCTGCCTCTGCCTCTGGAACTAAGGGCGTACGCTGCCACACCCAGCTCTAGTTAACTTTTACGTGTTCCCCTTACGTTTGAGAGGGAAGTGCTCTGTTTTTGTTGGCAAGAGCTTATCAGTTCATTACACTTTCTATTGTGTTTACAAAACATTCCAGGCTTATATTGACTCTCCTATTTTCTTTTTCTTTTCTTTTTTTTTTTTTTTGGTTTTACGAGACAGGGTTTCTCTGTATTGTTTCAGAGGCTATCGGTCCAGCCCAGCCTCGAACTCACAGAGATCCGTTGACTCTGCCTCCCGAGTGCTGGGATTAAAGGCGTGCGCCACCACTGCCTGGCGACTCTCCTATTTTCAAATGTTGACAATGTATTATACATTTTATATTATAATTGTTTTGTTAGTTTCTCTTTGTATTTCTGACAACTTTACATGTTTTAGAGAATTATCTAAAATTATTTAAAATTATTTTAAAATTATCTTTCTGGGAGATTAACTCTCATCAAAATATGATAGTCATACTTATCTTTATAATACCTTTTACTCGAAGTTTATTTTATATGATAATAATAAAGCTAGCTATATTTCTTTTTGTTTGTATTAGTGTATGGTATTTAATATATGTTTTTCTTATACTGTCAATATTGTTGTTTCATATATGTCAAACGTGTTTATTATAAAAACATTTGTTTTAAAAAATCAAATCTGACAATCTTCTTTCCCCTCCTCCTTTCTGTTAAAAAGTACTTATTATTATTAATGTGTGTGTGTGTGTGTGTGTGTGTGTGTGATGTGTGGGGTGTGCCAATGCCATGCTTGTAGCATGGTGTGCTTGCAGCCATCTGAGGACAACTTCATGAAGTCAAGTTCTGTCCTTTCACCTTTCTATGGTGACTTAGTTAGGGTTTCTGTTGCTGTGAAGAGACGCCGTGACCAGGGCAACTCTTATAAAGGAAAACATTTAACTGGGTGGCTGGCTTACAGTTTCAGAGGTTCAGTCCATTATCCTCATGGTGGGGAGCATGGTGCTGTGCAGGCAGACTTGGCTACATCTTCATCAGAAGGCAACAAGAAATGGTCTGTCTCACCGGGTGTAGCTTGAACACAGGACACCTCAAAGCCACTCTCATAGTGACACACTTCCTCCAACAAGGCCGCGTCCACTCCAACAAGGCCACACTTCCTAATAGAGCCTCTCCCTTTGGGGGCCATTTTCTTTCAAATCACCGCACACAGCTTCTGAAGACTGCAGAAAGCTCAGACGGGCCATCCCGCATGCACTTCTTTGAGACAGTGTCTCACCACGTAGCCCAGGCAGGCCTTGAATCCACACTCCCCGAAGCTGGGACTGTAGACATGTGAGACCACGCTCCACTCTTCATACTTTTTAGTTAGTTTACCTCTGGGCCAAATGGGAAACATTCCCATCTGTTTCTTTCACCTTGCTTCATATTTCGCACTTGTTCCTACCCTGTCTAAATGTCCCCCATATTTTCTAGCTTTGTTTTAATTGTCCTTTTTCTTCATTCCCTTGCCGTGGATTTCTACCTTCTAGTTCAGAATAAGGCTTTCCAAGGCCTTTTGACAAGCATATGTAACTGTGAGAAGTCCAGTGGCCTAGGCCATTCTCCACACCACCCTGTGTTTGTAGAGACACTAGAAGGTTTACATTCTCAACCCCATTCACAGCCCCATGGTCCGTTTCTGCTTGGAGCCCCAACACTTGGTGCAGAAGGATGCTAACTGGGCTCCAAGAGGACAGAGGGACGGGTGTCATGGGGACACTGCTGCTCCACGTTTTCGTGGTCCTCTCCCGGGAACCACACTTTAACTCTGCCCTGAGATGCCCACTCCTGCCCACGTGGAAGAGGCGAAGCCGACCTCCTCCCCTTTCGCTTTGGTTTCTTCATCGGGTTCAGGACAACTGGTTTCAAGGCGGGAGAGCCGAGACCTAACTCAGTCAATGAAACCTAACCCTGAAACGTTTGCTGGAGCGGTAGGGCCGGGAGCCACTCTTCTGCTGGGTCTGAAGAGGCGGTGAGGCAGGGGCTTGGGCCTGCTGCGGGTCCCTGTGGGGAGAGAAGGCTGCTGACTGACGGAGGGAAGCTGAGCTGAGAGCTGATGACCTTCACGCTCGAGCTGCCTTGAGCTCACAGTTCTGTGAGTCTGTTACCACCCAAACCCCATCCTTTGTCACTGAATTTCTGCTGCTGGTGCTGCTTACCAGTGCC